AAAAAAAAAAAGAAGGAATGTACTAGTGATGTATACAATAACATGGATCAACGTGAAATGCACTATGGTAAACAAAAAAAAACTAGACTCTAAGGCTTCCCCTGTCTAATGACATTCTAAAAGAGGCAAAACTACAGAGACAGAAAAAAACAGATTAGTGGTAGTAAGGGCTGGGTTGGCAAGAGGGACTAAACCTAAAAGGACAAAAATGGCTGCAATGATGGAAATGTTCTGTATCTTACCTTTGGTGGCAGTTACTACACAATTCTACGTGTTTGTTAAAACTCACAGAAGTGTACACACACACATTAAAGGGTAAGTTCTAACGTATGCAAATTATACCTCAATTAAAAAAAAATTCAGTTCCCCAAATATTTAGGCACCATCCTTGTTGCCTATTAAATGGATGTGGTATTAGCTGATTTTTCAACTTTCAACCCCTAAAATATAAGCTAAACGAGGATAATGACATAAGTAGGGAATAAAACCTCTTCAACAAAACAGGAAACAGTAAATATTAGCCAGGCACAGCAGCTCATGCCTATAATCCTAGCACTATGGGAGGCCAAGGCGGAAGGATTGTTTGAACTCAGGAGTTTTTTTTTTTTTTTGTCGAGACAGAGTCCCACCCTGTGCCCCTGAGCAGAGTGCAGCGGCTTGGTAGTTCACTGCAACCTCCGACTCCTGGCTTGTGGGCATCCCGCTGCCTCAGCCTCCGGAAGCTGCTGGGATTACAGGCGCTCGCCACGGCGCCCGGCTGGGTTTTTCCATTTTTTTCATGAGTCGGGGTCTCACTTTTGCTCAGGCGACTCTCGAACTCCTGAGCTCCAGCGATTCTCCCTCCTCAGCCTCCCACAGTGCTGGGATTACAGGCATGAGCCACTGCACCCGGCTGAACTCAGGAGTTTTGAGGTTGCAGTGAACTACCCAGGGCAACAGATTTAGACACTCTGTCTCAAAACAAACAAACAAACAGGGCAGCGTCTGTGGCTCAAAGGAGTATGGCATCGGCCCCATATGCCAGAGGTGGTGGGTTCAAAACCAGCCCCAGCCCAAAACTGCAAAAACAAATAAACAAACAAAAAAAGCCATCCTACTTAAATGTAACTGAAAATAGAAAAAAAAGAAAAGAAAAAGAGAGAAGAAAAAGTAAAAAGAAAAAAAAACTAGAAAATATTCATCAAATTTAATAAACTCTAACAATCTATGTGAATCTAAGGTATAAGGGCTTTATTTACAGGTCATTCCACCTCCTTGTAATACTCAATTTATTCACATAACAGAAACTGAGGCTTATACAAGATTGTTTCATCTTTATTCTCTCCCCAAAATTACATGAGGTAGAATTTCCCTCCTTAACTACTTTCACCTCTTCCTCAAAACGTATTTCTCTGATGGTTCTGCCAATGCTCTGTCAATTTCTGGTGCCCCTCCTTCATAAGACTTCATGGAATTGCAACTGTGGGAATTAAGTCTCATGGTAATGAGTGAGAATTAATATTAGCATTGTTCCTAATGCCATTCTACCTATTCTACACTTAACCCTCCCAAACGAGCCCAGTTAAAGTAAACACAAAAGAAAACAACCTTGATAAAATCAGTTTTATAAAAATATTAGGCTCGGCGCCTGGCTAATTAAGCGGCTAAGGCACAAGCCACATACACCGGAGCTGGCAGTTCAAATCTAGCTTGGGCCTGCCAAACAATAATGACAGCTACAACCAAAAAATAGCTGGGCACTATGGTGGGCGCCTATAATCCCAGTTACTTGGGAGGCTAAGGCAAGAGAATCACTGGGGCCCAGGAGTTTGAGGTTGTTGTGAGCTGTGACACCATAGCACTCTACCCAGGTCGACATAGTTGAGACTTTGTCTCAAAAAAAAAAAAAGTGTATGGATATATATAACAGAAAATTATGATGAAATAGCCATACTGAAAGTCAGAATGTCTTTATTTGATGAGACTCAGAAAAAAAAAAAGTCAGCAGAGCAGAAAGGGAGAGGTACCAGTAGGAGAGTCTCTTGTGAAATGGCCGCGCAACTCAACTACTCCCATCATTGCTCCTCCTTCCCACTTTAGCTGGCTCTGCCCTAGTGTAATCAAGAAATAAGAAATGGCTGGGCATGGTGCTTCATGCTTATAATCCTAGCACTCTGGGAGGCTGAGGCAGACGGATTGCTAGAGCTTAGGAATTCAAGACCTTCTTGAGCAAAAGTGAGACCCCATCTCTACTGAAACAGAAAAAATTAGCCAGGTATGGTGGCAAATGCCTAAAGTCCCAGCTACTCAGGAGGCTGAGGCAGAAGGATCATTTGAACCCAGAAGTTTGAGGTGGCTGTGAGGTAGGCTTGATGCCACAGTACTCCAGGCTGGGCAACAGAGTGAGACTGTCTCAAAAAAAAAAAAAAAAAAAAAGAAAGAAAGAAAGAAAGAAAGAAACGATAGGCAAAATAGCATCCTACCAATTAAAGACACCTGTTTAGCATAAAATTCCTTTTAAAGTGTTCAACCTATTCTGATTCAGTGATTCACCTCACTGAATAGCAGCAGAAAAATGACTACAAAGAACCTCAAAACTATTGAATACCATGGTACCTCGGCAGTACAGTGACGAGGGCACTGTTTATATAGTGTTATATAGAGAAGGAAAATTATGCACTAAAGGGAGAGTGCTGAAACCTAGGTTCATTTACTCAATAACTAGAGGATCCAAAATTATTCTTTTTTTTTTTTTT